ATAAAAAGTAGATGAAAAAGTAGAAGAAATGCTAAATTCAACGACATAAAGTGTACTAAATGGCAGTTCTACATTATAATTGCAATAATGCAAAAATAAACAAATACAAAGGTCCTAGACCTTTTGTTGTGTGCCTGTCTGAGAACTTGTAATGCTCAACTGTGAGTTTCAGTGTTTTTAACCCAATTACAGGTTTACAGGATAAAAGTGTAGAATCCCAGAATACTGTCCGGAGAGAACTCTACACAGGTTTATTGATGATCCATGAGCGTTCTCATTAGCATGTCATAGTTGAAATATCTTCTGAAATACACTTTATATAATTAAATTAAGGATATCTATATGTTCTCAGAAGCTAATGTTCTTATGTGGAACCGACTCATAATTACCTGAGTACCACATCGGAAAATCCAGAATGTAACAGGTAAGGTCTTATGCAGCTGTCATAGGTGAATCTACAAAGAAAATGGTTATTATTTAAACATTCCTTAACTTTAAACATTGCTTAAAAATGTAGCCAGAAAGTAAAATAAACAAACAGAATGAAAAAATAATATACATATATTCCGTGTTTTATAAGTACATGGAATTGGCACTTGGCAGAGTACAGTTTACAGGAAGACCTGGGGAATATCTAGATACTAAGGAAAGGTAAAAATGAGATCACTAAATTTTCCATTCAAAGGTGGCCTTGATGCCTGTGTAAGTTTGAGAAGGAAAGCTGATGTATGCAGTGCCCATAATGGAAAAAAAAAACCTTTCTTGGTTTCTTGGCACATTAGGAAGGTAGAAGATAAGTTTTACTTAAAACCAAATACAAGCAGATGAGTAAAAAAACGTATTCGATAATAATATTTCCAGTTGGCAAAGTTTAATGACTGCATTCTTCTCTAAAAGTACCACACACCATCATACATTGGTCACTGGTTAGTGTTATAAGGTGTACACTTTCTAACTGCATAATCCGTGACTTGCACATTGTATGGACTCCATTATTTTTCATGCTGAATTTGGTGCTAATATTTTTAATGATACTTTGTCATGCACACCGGTCCCTTTGTTTATTTGGACTTGATTATAACCACTGTTTGGTTAATGAGAAAAACGAAACTATCTGACACTCATCCAACAGCCTGAGGTAATATAACATCATATCCTACCCATTATGTTCTGCCAATACCAGTGTACTGTGAAGGCTTTATTTGGGAGAACAGCAACAGAAGGACTTAGTTAAAGACAAACTATGTATACCATCAATTTGGAATGGCGGTACCCATACTAAACCCTTGGATGCCCAACAAGATTTCTGGATTGAATGTGTACACACAGACAAAAGAAAATATTTACAGATGTCAGTAAAAGTGACTACATAAGGACAACCTTAGTCCAAAACTGTCATGAGACATTTCTGGAATTGTCAAAACAATTGCACGTGTCCGATAGCAGTAAGCATTCCACTGTTTACTAATGAAGATTGGAATGACCATGATTCTAGTCAAATATCTCTCCATTCTTAGCTTTAACTTGGGAACAACTGTCTCAAGTTCACATTGCAAGAGAAACTCAGGAAAACCTGCTTCCTTTAATTTCAGATGACAATTGAGTTAACCAACATTTGCGCTCGTTGCTTACCTCTGAGAATAGAGTGACATCTTGCAATGAACTGTCATTTTAAAATACATTGCTTCATGCGCATAGATAAGATTGATGCACATGTAAGGGAATCTCCAGTCACCATAGTTATCCAGATTCCTTGTATAAGTTATATTGCCCACTCCCGTTACAGCCTCTGACTTATAAACACAGTGATTTCCCAAAAAACCCTGCATGTATAAGTCCACTCCTAAATACTCAAATACTTCAGTGGGGAATCCGTGGCCAGTTATGCCCTTCCTTGCATGGGGACTAGGAACGGAGCATTTCATCCCCCCCATCCTGTCTAATAAGGAATCAAAATGACCTCCATTAATTTTCTAAACTCTCCATTTATGAGGATTGTGAACAGGGCACCACTAGTCTTTCCTGCTGACAAGCTAGACATATGCCGCCTGGCTTTTTTTTGTCCTGTATTTAATGTGTATTTTCTGGAGTTCATTTCTACATTACAAAGAGTATACTCGAAGAGTATCAACTTAAAGCTCTAAACCTGCCCCTGAATTACTTGACAGATTTGCGGGCACTTCATTATCATATTCAGCATTAAAGATTATCCAAATTGCTGCTTTGGATAATCTTAGCCATTTAGCTCACATTTCTGATTTAAGCAGCTAGCCTTCTAAGAAGAAAGAGGACTCTTAGCACAGCTGTCTAGTTTTCTAAATCAAGTCCCCAGTTGACGATTGGCATTATTTTTGGATACACTGCTGGTGTTGGACAGGCTAAACGGCCAATTGGTTTTTATCTGATGACAAATTCAATGTTCCATTTCAGAGAGTAAGTTCCCAGAGGCTGCATGTCCTGGCCCATCAATTCTACAATACTCTGGTTTCCAACCTAAATAACATCAGTATACTTCCAAAATCCCTCTGCAACCCAATACAGTACGAATGTTACATTTGCCAACAGTGAGAGGTTTCCCAGCTGCATTCCACAAAATGTGAGTTATTTTTAAAGAGGGTGAGAAAAAGAATATTGGTTATTTTTACACTGGTTGAGACTTGTATGATCATTTCATGGACTATAACAAAAAATAAATAAATTGGAATTCTCTTTCTGACAGATGGATCTATTACTATCTTCTAGAGTCAGTGGGTACCAAGGTTCGTTCGTTTGAAATCATAACCTAGTAAACAAAGCCTTCAGTCATCATTACAGATTTTAAGAAATTACATTCTCATGTTTATATTGTATTTTTTATCATTAATATTTTTATAATCTTATAACACTTTGTATTTGAGTGTTTATTAGCTGAGAACATATTAGCTTAGTATTTATTGACTATGTGACCTTTTCTGTCATAGAACATAAACATTATCAACTAGGCTTGTGCAAGGCAGAAAAAATGAATACAAACAAAAAATGTTAGGGCAATTTGTGATTCATCCATTCGGTGTTTCAATTCGTACAAATGTTGGCTATTGATTGGCCAATCAGTGTACTGCAGTATGTAAATATTAAGTATATATTTAACATTGATTTTTGTACACTGTTTCGTTTGTTTCGTGATTCGTTCATATAGCGTTTCAGAGGTTGGAATTTCAGACCAATCACAATTAATTTGAAACTGAATGCACACGTCTATTAGCTACTAAGAATACTGTTCGTGTGGAGATAAAATATTTTCTTTCCACAATTGCATGTTAGAATACATTTTTATATAATGCTAAAATTGTTCAATAATAAAGTAATCCACAGGGCATGAGACAAAAGAAATTGTGTCTTCTCTCCTTCTCTCGTAAGTCTTGTCACTTTATAAATCGTTAAATGGGTAGTAAGTAAAAATGGATTGAACCAAATGTAGATATATTCTTGAAACCGAGTTATGCTTACCTGAACCTATCCCTTGAAGGTGTCACGATGTTCTTCCATTCAGGCCTCTTTAGCTTCAGAAGCTACAGGTGTCAGGGGCCAACATCAGCGTTATACTCTCATGCATGCGTGAGAGACAACACTGAGGTCTATGGAGGATCCCACAAGATCACAGGATCCTCCATAGACAGAGTCTTTTCTCCCCAGCTGTTCCTAGTGATGGCTGGGGGCTTGAAAAACTTTGACAAGGTTGCACGCCACCATTTTGTAAAGCTTGTCCAGTGGAGGAAAAATTCTAAGACAAAGTATTCCCTAATTTGTCTTAGTATATCTTTTGACTGGGTTGGACTTTCAATGAAATTCCAACACAGTTAATGTGAGTATGTCATAAAGATTTTATCTCTGTAAAATACACATTGTGGAGGTGGGGGATGAAAGAGACACATGCATATTTTAATGTACACAAGTCAACTTTCTACAAAATGTGGATATACTCAAAATTGCATAAATATTTACTAAGCAAGAGAAAATTACCTTTCATTAGCTTTTGCTGCTGTCAGGCAATGTATCAAACACGTGTAAACATTGCCATTTCTCTGAAACAGCAATGTTTTACCTTGTCCAGAATGATGGGCAGCGTCAATGCACCAAAACCACTACATTAAGAAGAAGAGATTTGGGTTACTAGAAAATCCCTTTAATATATAGGGATAGCCAAGCTCCTCTCTTTAGCTTCCACATAGCATGGCAGTCAGATTTCTCTCGATTCTCTTTTGAATTTAAAATAATCCACAATTTAGACAAAATCCTTGCCAGTTGTGACAGAACCATCTGTCTGCTTGGATTTTTACCCCGTTCGTCTGTTTGTCCCCCATTCGTATGAATGGCTGGTTTCTATAGCCCAGCCATTCGAATGACTCTTTTTCCCGAACAAACCTGCCGAACGAACGGCCACCCAAGTGAGGAGTGTGCTGCTGGTTAACGAAGTGATCCCAATTAGAACGTTGTGGTTAACCGCAGACACTTCTCAATTAAACCGAATTCAGGGTGGTCGTCGTTCGTATGTCGACCACGAGGCAGCGGCCATTTTAAATCACGCGAACGCCCAGCGGTGTTTGGCTCTATTTCTATGGAACTGAAAACGGACACTTTTTCTGCCGAACACCGCTGAAACAAGGGAACGCCTGGCTGCCTCCACGAAAGCATGCGAACACCGGCCATTCGGGAGATTGAGAACATACAAAAGACTTAGATAGCCTTCCCATGGAGTCATTCGTATACCGAAAGACTGTAAGAACTTTGACTCCATGGCGATTGAACTATGTGTGTGGGATCTGAGCGCTATTCGCTAATAATATGCACTCAGATCCAGGCTATCTGGGGACATGTAATACGAATGGGAAATGTTCAGTTTTCATGTAGTTATGTATTTTTATGTCTTTTATTATTTTATGTCTAAGATGGCGACTGTCCTTGTCCTGGAGTTAATTGAGTTACTTGGTAATTAACTCCAGGGCAGAGGGGAGGGAATCATAATGCACTGTGGGTAAAATCTGTGACTGTGTGTCTGGAATGTCCCCATATCTGTCTGTCATTTAAGTCTCCCATTTGGTCCCCTGGGGGAGTGTCCACCAAGTGGGAGACCTGCATAAATACGGGCAGGTAGCCCACAGTAAAGCCAGATCCTGTTTGACCCTCAATGCGGAGCTTCTGTCTCGTTATTGGGGGGATTTCTTCTTCACGTTTAGAGACTGCTGGATGGAACGGAAGCCACTTGGTGAATATTGCTGTTCGACGGTCACCAGCAGTTCGTGTATTGCCGTTCGGGAGTTTGGAGCCGTTCACGGATCTCGTTCGGGAGATTGCCGCTTCCCCTGCATTTGGTTCGTGTATTACAGATTAAGCGAACGGAGACTGTGCTGCAGCCGGGGAAGGTCTACTAAACGGCGGTTTTGCCTAAAGACACTGGAGGTGTCTTAACAATTGGTGGCAAGCGACGGGATGAATCCCACAGCATTGGAGGTCAGCTACAAGACATGCAGTATGAGGAATTAAGGCGTGCTACACTTAAGGACATATTGGAACGCCGAGGAAGGTCAGCAAGCAATTTAAAGAAACGGGAGATTATTGCTTTGCTACTGGAGATGGATGCAGCAACGGGAATGGAAAGAGTCAACGTGCCCAGTACCTTGGATTTAACACCCGAGGAAATACAATTTAACCGGGCAGTGCAAATAAGGCTGGCACATTTTGTCCCCAACCCCTCAGCTGACATCGTGGTGCGTGTGCAGGCAGCAGTTGCAGCACAGCAGGCGCTCCGGGAAAGAGGAGCTGCAGCAGCAGAGGTACCGTACGATAATAATGTGGTTGCTAGAAAGAAGGTACCTTTTGCTGCATTTAAAAATTTTGTGGAAACTGAGGGAGAGATTGATGGTTTTTTAGCAGACTTTGAGAGGCAGTGTGCGCTACATCAGGTACCTGCAGATGAATGGGTCACCATCCTCTCTGGGAAATTATCTGGCCGGGCTAGTGAGGCGTTTCGGGCCATCCCAGAGGAGGAGATCACCAGCTACCGGGCTGTGAAAGAGGCGCTGCTAGCCAGGTATGCGGTGACCCCAGAGGCGTACAGACGGAGGTTTAGAGAAACCAACAAGCTGGTTGGGGACTCTTATGTGGAATGGGCCTGCAGAGTCCATCGTACCGCAGCCCACTGGATGGCTGGATGCCAAGCGGTAACTGGGGAGGAGGTATTACAAGTGTTCCTGCTGGAGCACTGTTTTGATAGACTACCTGCTGGGGTCCGGGAGTGGGTCAGAGATAGAAAACCCTCTACCCTACCCGAGGCTGCCCGTCTGGCAGACGAATACACGGATGCCCGCAAGTTGGATGGTACAGCTGCTAAAGCCCCTGCCAGACTGGAATATCGACCAGCAGTAACACCCGCTCCTGCAGTCTACCAACCCCCGGTACACCGTACCCCAGCTGCACCACCAGCTAACAATTATATGCAACCAGCCCGATTTAATGCCCGGGAGTACTCCCAACCCATCCGGTGCTATGGGTGCAAGCAGTTGGGGCACAAGCGTCCTGAGTGCCCCACGTTGGGTGCCGTGTTTCGCTTACCTGTTGCCCGAGTACATTTGGATTGGGGAGTGGGCGCTAGACATGTGGATGTGGGGGTGATGAAGGACTTGCCCGCAGATGTTCTTTTGGGAAACGATTTGGCCCCTTTGGTTTCAGCCTATGCTCCGATGGGCCCTGCGGATGTGAACCCAGTGACCACCCGTGCCCAGACCCATGCTGCCGGAACCAGCCCACTTGCTGATGAGACCCAGGTAAGATCTCCTTCCCCGACTGGTACCCCAGATCAGGTCCCCTTAAGCTGGGATTCCCCAGAGGAGTTTGGGAGGGAAAACCGGGCAGATCCGACCCTCCAAAAGTACAAAGACAGGGCAGATGCTGGAGAGGAAGGAATAGATGGGGAACGGTATGAGTGGGTGGGGGACAGGTTATATAGGATCCCTAAACCTTCCCAGAAGAGTGTTGCCTCTCCGCCGAATCGCCAGTTAGTGGTACCTGCAAAGTACCGGCAGGAGATTCTGCGGATAGGGCATGATGTTCCATTAGCTGGACATCTAGGGTCCCGCCGCACAGCCTATAGGATCTCGCAGAATTTCTTTTGGCCAAGCTTTAACCAGGCCGTGCGGATGTACTGCAGCACGTGTGACACATGTCAACGGGTAGGAAAGCGGGGGGACCACCCTAAGGCTAGGCTATTATCGATGCCTATTATAGGGGAGCCCTTTGCCCGCATAGCCTTTGACATCGTGGGTCCACTGGCCAGGGCTAGTCCATCAGGTAAGAAATACGTTCTTACCGTGGTGGACTATGCCACCCGCTATCCAGAGGCAGTAGCGCTGTCTAACATAGAGGCAGAGACGGTTGCTGATGCCCTGGTTAGAATTTTTACTAGGGTCGGGTTCCCTAAGGAGATTCTCTCCGACCAGGGAACCCAATTCACCGCTGTGCTCACCCAGCAGCTGTGGAAGGTGTGTGGCATTAAGCCGTTACTTAGCTCACCCTACCACCCACAGACTAACGGTCTCTGCGAGCGCTTTAACGGTACCCTCAAACAGATGCTGAGGACCTTTGCAGACACTTGCAGAGACTGGGAGAGATTCCTGCCTCATCTATTATTTTCTTATAGAGAGGTGCCCCAGGAATCTACTGGGTTCTCCCCCTTTGAGCTGCTGTATGGGAGAAGGGTCCGCGGACCCCTAGATCTCATTAGAGGCCACTGGGAGGGGGAGACGGAGCAAGAGGGGACCCCATTGTGCCATATGTTCTGGAACTCCGGGACCGCATGGAGAAACTGTCCCTGATGGTAAGGGAGAATCTCCAGGCGGCCCAGGGGAGACAGAAGAGATGGTATGATCAGGGTGCCCGACAGCGGGTCTTCCAGGTTGGGCAAAAGGTATTGGTGCTCAAACCCGTGAAGGCCAACAAGATGCAGGCATCTTGGCAGGGCCCGTACAAGGTAGTGGCGCAGATCTGCGACACTACTTACTTGATAGCCAGCTGTGCAGATGAGAGGATCCAGCGGTCCTTTCATGTGAACATGCTGAAAGAGTACCAGGAGAGACCTGAGAATATTGCAGCAGTATGTGCCCCAGCTGCAGATGATTCTGAGAATTTACCCCTTCCCGATCTATTAGAAAGGGATCCCCAGACTGACCTTACTACCTTGGTACAGCTAGGGGAACGGTTGAATCCCACAGAAAGGGTACAGGCGCAGCAGTTGTTATGGGAGAAGCAGGTGACGTTCTCCCAGGAACCAGGTTATACCACCCTAGCTGTGCATAAGGTAGAGACCCCTGGACAGACCCCGTTACGACAGCCCCCCTATCGTATCCCTGAAGCAGTCCATGAAGGAATGCGGAAGGAGATACAGGAGATGACCCAGCTTGGAGTTATCGAGCACTCCGACAGCCCTTGGGCCTCGCCTGTAGTCCTGGTGCCCAAGAAAGATGGGACCACCCGGTTCTGTGTGGACTACAGGCGACTCAACGAGCGGACCACCACTGACGCCTACCCAATGCCCCGGGTAGACGAATTACTAGATCGTATTGCCAGGGGGCGATATCTGACCACCATAGACCTGTGTAAGGGCTACTGGCAGATCCCCCTGGCCGAGGATGCTATCCCCAAGTCGGCATTTGTCACCCCATTTGGCCTGTACCAATTTAAGGTCATGCCTTTTGGGATGAAAAATGCACCGGCTACCTTCCAACGGATGGTGGATAGACTCCTAGATGGCTTCCAAGAATTTGCCTGTGCATACTTGGACGACATTGCGATTTACAGTGGGTCCTGGGAGGAACACCTGGTACATGTAGGGGTAGTGCTGGATAAAATTCGGGCCGCTGGCCTGACATTGAAGCCAGAAAAGTGCCATCTAGGTATGGCTGAAGTACAGTACCTGGGTCACAGAGTGGGGTGTGGGAGCCAGAGACCAGAGCCAGCCAAGGTAGAGGCAGTGGCTAACTGGCCCACACCTACTACTAAGACCCAGGTATTGGCCTTCTTGGGGACGGCAGGGTACTATAGACGTTTTGTCCCTGACTACAGCGCTATTGCTAAGCCCCTGACAGACCTGACCAAGAAAAACTTGCCTAAGCAGGTCCTGTGGTCTCCGGCTTGTGAAGCTGCGTTCCAGGCACTGAAGCAGGCTCTTGTGAATGCCCCTGTCTTGGCAGCCCCAGTCCCTAACAAACGCTTTCTCGTCCATACAGATGCTTCCATGTATGGACTGGGGGCTGTGCTGAGCCAAGTCGGGGAAGATGGAGGAGAGCACCCTGTCGCATATCTCAGCAGAAAGTTGTTACCCAGAGAAGTGAGTTATGCGGCAGTGGAGAAGGAGTGTTTGGCCTTGGTCTGGGCATTGAAAAAGTTAAGCCCCTATTTGTATGGGCAAGAGTTTTCCCTGGTGACGGACCATAACCCACTCGTTTGGCTTAACCGGGTCTCAGGAGACAATGGGAGACTGCTGAGATGGAGCTTGGCACTACAGCCCTACAATTTTACCATCAGCTACAGACCCGGTAAGCTAAACGGAAATGCAGATGGGTTATCACGACAAACAGACGTTTCCATCACCTCGTAGTCCGGTCATCCCCAAGTTGACCCGCCACAGGGTCAAGCCGGGTCTGCCGGAGTGTCCCACAAGGAGGGAGCCGTGTGACAGAACCATCTGTCTGCTTGGATTTTTACCCGTTCGTCTGTTTGTCCCCCGTTCGTATGAATGGCTGGTTTCTATAGCCCAGCCATTCGAATGACTCTTTTTCCCGAACAAACCTGCCGAACGAACGGCCACCCAAGTGAGGAGTGTGCTGCAGGTTAACGAAGTGATCCCAATTAGAACGTTGTGGTTAACCGCAGACACTTCTCAATTAAACCGAATTCAGGGTGGTCGTCGTTCGTATGTCGACCACGAGGCAGCGGCCATTTTAAATCATGCGAACGCCCAGCGGTGTTTGGCTCTATTTCTATGGAACTGAAAACGGACACTTTTTCTGCCGAACACCGCTGAAACAACGGAACGCCTGGCTGCCTCCACGAAAGCATGCGAACACCGGCCGTTCGGGAGATTGAGAGCATACGAAAAGACTTAACCCAGATAGCCCTCCCATGGAGTCATTCGTATACCGAAAGACTGTAAGAACTTTGACTCCATGGCGATTGAACTATGTGTGTGGGAT